CATTATTTTTATGTACTGACACGTTGGTGTAACACAATACCTTCATACCACCAAAGGTAGTGAAAAAGCTAATCTGCTCAATGAAAAATTAGTTCTGCTATTAGCTGTTAGCTGATTAGTGGAACCATTCCCACCACTGTGTTTCAGGCATAGATGGCAGAGAATTAAAAAAAACAAAAATAAAATAGTATGATATGCTGTCCATTGGCTCCACTAACTGCTGAAAATTGTCATCAGCTATAGAAAGAAAAACAATATTGATTGGAAAAAATTAGGCGTTGAAAATTGCATTTTTCTCTTAAGTTAACAATCACCGTTGTGTTTTTGTGGGACCAGGTCTCTTTACCCTTCAGACTCCATCAATAGTCTGGTACAAGAAAACCTGGAAGGTGCAATGATAGAGAATCAATAGGGTGATGACCTCATCTGGTGCTTCTGGAGTCAAGGATCTCTGATTAGAGGTGCACGGATCCCCCAGGAACTTGCTGCAGAAGTGGCCTTAATAGGATGTGATGTTTTTGGCCCGGGGGCGACGCACTTTGCTGTACACCGTGAAGGCGTTGCCAGGGAACCGCACTGGTACGCTCTCAGCCCGGCTCCTTGTAGGTAGCTGTTTTGTTTTTTTGTTGTTTTTTTTTAAATCGAAGTCTGCCTGTGCATCGGAGTGCGAGCAGCATGCCATAAATGGTCAATGATTGAAAGGCTGGAACGCGGGGCCGCTCAGCGCCTTGGTACTGTAAAGTCATGAGAAACCAGTGAAACAAACCCAGTAAAAACGACGGAACCGGGTTTGTTTCAGCGAGGASTGACAGCAGCAAAACACTGATACTGTCATCAACAGCAGACGTCTGCTGCGGGGGGAAAACAGTTGGCAAATTTTGTTTGTTGAATCATCCCTGTAATTGGCGCGTGCTGTCAGCTCCACACCGGACGCACCGAAAACGATCGTATATCACAACAGCTGACGTCAGGAAGTCTCAGGAATGAGGTCCGACGCGGCCAAGAATGTTCCATTGTTCTGAGCGCGGAGAGCAAAGCGCCGGTGTGTGTGTGTCTGAACTTGCGCTGCAGGCCCCCCGGCTCTCTAAAGACAAAAGCTTAGCTTCAGATTGAGTGACAAAAGGAAAGGGCTTGGATGACTAAGGTGTTGTTAATCTCTGTGCCAGCTTCCTGTTAAAGGTGCAATTACCACGTTGGGCTTTTAGGCAAATGCAGTAAATCTGACATTCCTGTGCAATTGATCCGTCTGTTATATAAACAGTTCTTTATGAGCCTAACATCAGATCCTTTACCTCAGATAAACACAGTTTAACACAAGTCACTGAAATACGCCAGCTGACAGGAACCCCTTCTTAATAAAGTTAAACAAAACGATCGATTTTCTTTTGTTTTAGCTGCGCTTTTATCTGCGTATATTTTGCTATATTGCCTGCCACCATGAAAGTATGGTTGTAATCTTTATATGTCTGTTAGAAAAATGCCCCACAAATCAGGGGATTGTGTCTCAGAGACACTCAGGGCGCTGATTTTTTAAAGGTAGGTGCAAAGGTGAGAAAGTTGCCGTTTTTTTTTTCTTCGCCTGAACGAGCTGTCCCCCAACCTCCAGTTGCTAAGCTCCTTTGTTTGTGTGTTGCTCCTGCCTTTGGATTTTGGCGGTGTGTGTATGTACGTGTGTGTGCGTATCGGGTTACATGTGGGAACGGAGAGTAACATCAGCCGAGCCTTTCTTTTGTGAATCCTCTCCCTAATGAATGTGGGAGCGTGTAATCACATACTTAGAGTTAACTCTAAACTCAGCCTTACATTATACCGGTTAACTTCATTACACGATGGCATTATCGATGCTGATTTGCAGGATAGAGCTTTTAAATTTACGGCGGTTTCTGATTAGCTCCTATTTACATATCAAAATGGTTGGCATTGTTCAGCTAATTGAGATTTATGGTTATTTTTTTAGTGAAATTTATTTCAAAGGAAGGGGGGGGTCGGGGGAGAAATCTCTGTTTATGTTAATGGGAAACACGTGTAATCTGTTTTGTTTATTGTGAGAAATGTGTGTGGGTGTCCTGAGCTGACCCTTTATTAAGTATACACACACACACACACACACAC